CTATGATTCTATGATTCTATGAGTTCAGAAATGAGGTGCCCAGATCACATTGGCATCAAAAGAGGAGACAAACTTTCTGTAACTGTTCCGGGTCAGGAAATGCCCCGGGCATCATCATCATCATCATCATCATCATCATCATCATGGATCGAGGTGGGGAACAGCAATGAACAGATAAACAACCTTAGTTAAAACATATCAGTTAAAATACACATCAATTTAAAATGACAAATAACATATACATATATTAAAAAGATCCACATTTAAAGTTTAAAATTGAGGTTAAAGGGGGCACCTGCCAGGCAGTAATCTGTCCTGGCTGTGCCAGGAAGATGTTGGAGGAAGGTCAGTGGTGGTGGACGAAAATAACATCCAGATGCAAGGACTTAGGTATACATCTACCCAATGTCCCTGCTGAGACATTGTCGGGGAGTCAATTTGGACTTTTGTCCCTAGCATAGACATCCCTTAGGTTGGTAAACATGCGAGATAGGGCCTTCTCGGCAGTGCCACCCCTCCTATGGTACTCTCTCCCCCAGGGAAAATCAAACTGGTAAAACCTTTTTGAGCCATTAAAACTGCATTACTTCACTCCACCAAACAGTGATAGCTTTATGGGACCTCCAAAATGCACATTCTACATGTTGCAAGCTTTCAAAGCTACACTGTCTTCTTCACCTGGCAAACACCTTTGCAACATGTAAAATGTGCATTTTGGTCAGCCCAATAAAGGTATCACTGTTCTATGGTTTAACACCTTTGTCTGATGAAGACGCCAGTGGAGCTTTGAAAACTTGCAACATGTAGAATGTGCATTTTGGATGGTCCCATAAAGGTACTACTGTTTTGTGGATTTTGGATGATACTGTACTATTTTAAAGATGTTCTTTTAGCCTTGTTTTCAAATGTTTTCTTTTGTGTACTTAAAAGTCTTTAAAAGTTTTCATCCATCTTGTTATACATCATCTTGTGTGGCCTGGCAGGTTGAAGGGCAATTACTAGATGCTTCAAATAAAGGAATAAATATTAGAAGTGAACTGTTTGTGCAAACTTGGCCTCCCCTTGGCCAAGCAGAAAAGAGCTGATGGGAGCGGGACAGCCGAAAAAATGCAGACAAGAGGGTGTGTGCCTGAGAAAGAAAAGAGAGTAATGAGGGCAGGAAGGACACACAGCCTTTTGCTTTCTTTCCAAAGAGGAGAAAAGGAGAATAGAAACAATAAAGGAGAGACAAGCAGGAGAGACCAACAGCCACTTAAGGTAAAATCAAGATGCAAAAGTTTATTGAAAATCAGCACCACACGTTTGCAGAGGAAGACCCAGAAAGGAGAAGTGGAGGTACTCATAGCAAAATTAATATAGCTTCCCAGAATTCCTTTGATGAGACTGCACAATAAGTGAAGCACAAGATCCACCAATTGATGCCTCATGAAGTTCAAGAAAAATTAAGATCTATCAAATTGCCTTGAACCCGTACCAACTTTTTTGAACTTCCCATTGCTATGCCATTAATAAAGACTAACTCCACAACAACTACATCTATTCCCTTTGGAACCATCATCTGAAGGATGGTGAAAGGGACTGTTGGTGAGGATTTTCATTTAGGGGAATGTGTGTGTGTGTGTGTGTGTGTGGAGGGGGGGGACTGTGCCTCCATAATTCTGATAAGAGGAGATTGAGGGCACCAAGGGAGGGGAGGAAACCTATAAGGGCATTGGCTATAAAGAAAGAAAATTCTGCCCACTATCACTATTCAAGATCAAGAGGGCTGTTGACAAGCTGGAGTGTATCCAGAGAAGGGTGGCCAAAATGGTGGAAGGTCTGGAAACCACTAAGTTCTATGAGGAACGACTTAGGGAGCTGGGTATGTTTAGCCTGCGGAAGAGAAAGTTAAGAGGGGACATGATAGTCATGTTTAAACATCTGAAGCGACGTCATATTGAGGATGGAGCAAGCTTGGTTTTTGCTGCTCCAGAGACCAGGATACGGGGAAATGAATTCAAAACACCGGAGCAGAGATTCCACCTCAACATCAGGAAGAACTTCCTGATGTTAAGAGCTGTTCGACTGTGGAAGGCTCTGCCTTGGAAAGTGGTGGAGTCTCCATCTTTGGAGGTCCTTAAACAAAGGCTGGATGGCCAACTGTCACTGAAAGTGAGGGTGTATTCTGGAATGGCAGAATGGAATTGGACTGGGTGGCCCTTGGGGTCTCTTCCAGCTCTATGATTCTACCACAACACAAGCTGGCTGAATGAAGTTACAGCAAAAGTGGCCTTGTGGGTCATATTTCTAGGTTGTGTCTGGAGGGCGCTTTCTCCCACAATGCCTATTATGCATTTTAGGTATAAACCAGAAGTGCAGGAAGCAGGAACAATTTGCGGAAAGTTGGGTAGGATTTTGCTCATCAAGGTCCAACCCTCACCCTGGACTGAATCACTGGTTCATTTTTATTTTTTAATCTTAGACACAATTTCTTGCTCTTTTCTTCTGAGGGCACCTTACGTGGGGCAGTGACAGCTCGTGACTTCAGGTCAATGGTGGCTGTGTGATTCTACTCTCCCTTTTTTAGTTCAAACTTTAATGGGGATATATTGAGAGGATATATTGGTTATAATGGTGATGTATTGATTGCTCTGCAGCTTCATGAAAGTTCGGACTGAAATAGTTTTGAACTTTAGAGGATTTATATTGTGCAGGTAGAGTCCAGCACCTTGGCTAGATCTTAAAAGCTCACACTAAAATCTGGAGCAGATTGATCCCACTCCACTACATGGCCACCACCAGCTGCCACTGCTTTGGAGTCTCCTATCTAGATATCATATTAGGCCTGAGCTGCTTAGCTTCAATTATTTTGTTGTTGTGTGTCTTAAAGTTGTCGTATGTCTTCAACATATGGAGACTCCATAGTGACATTATTACAGAGTTTTCTTGGTGAGATTTATTCAGAGGGTGTTTGTCACGGCTTTCTTCTGAAGGGTACTTGTGAAAGATCACTGTACAACCTCAAAACTCACCCCTAGCCACCAGGGCTGTTAGCATGGGACTTGCCAGAATCTGTGGCTTCTGGCTGCATTGAATCGACATATGGAACAGAATAAGGGGGATAATGGACTGGATTGATCAGTGATGGGATGCAATACCACCCCAGGATGGACCTAGACATTATGCTCTCCAGTCACCAGGTATGGCAAACCTGAGGAGTCACTTCTGTACAAACATAAACTTGTAGCATATGAACTAAAGACAAAAAAGATTGCACCCACAAGTACGGTCCATGTACTTTTACACAGTCCCTGTACCATTCACTTTTAGCACACAGAGTGGACTGAAGGTGGATCTACCCAATTCCAATTCCTATCACTTGTTTTACACTCTTCCCATCTTTGGTAGCTTTGTGCAGCTCAAAGGGATTGACATGTTGACAGAAGGACAAAAGGCTAAGTAAGTGAACATTTAAAGAAGCACAACACTTCTCCAGGTGGATTTCTCCCCCTCTGAGACCTAGTGGAGAAACGTTGCCACAATTTCGATGATGAGGCTATGGTACCCAAAGATAATTTGTTGTTGCGTGCCTTCAAGTTGTTTCCAACTTATGGCAACCTTAAGGTGAATCTATTACGGAGGTTTCTTGGAAAAATTAGTTCAGAGGGGGTTTGCCCTCAATGTCTTCCTCTGAAGTTGATGTCACCCAAGGTTACCCAGTGGGTTTCCATGACTGAGCAGGGATTTGAACCCTGTTTCCCAGAGCCCGAATCCAACATTCAAATCACTGCACCACACTGGCTTTACCCAAAAGATAAAACACTCATATCATCCAGAACTCGAGACCTGATCATATTTGCATCACAGCTAATATGCTTGCAAAACTCTCCCAATCCACTGGACTCACTTCTGGATTTGGGGGTTCTTAATAGTTTCTGTTTTGGGAGTGGTACCAATGTGTCAGCAGCCCTACTTATATTCTCGACAACCTTGCCACATTATATTAAAAACTGTAAAAGCTCATGGATCAGAGCTTCCATTCTTTTTCAGTTTAGGGTCTATTAGAATGGGAGACAGAAGTGCACTTCTTGTAAATAGTTGGATCCTTGATTCACCAGCACAGACAGCCTGATGTGACTGGGAGAAGCAATTCCATTTCTGTTCAAAAAATAAATCACACTTAACTGTGATGTAATTGCAAACTGAATCTAAATATTTAACTGTGCAATGGCAGATCAAGTAGAAATGTGAAGGACTGGAATAAAGAAAAGGGAAAAAATGGGACATTCCCAGGTTTCCCCTATTTCTTCCCAAAGGCTATGTTAGAAAAATTGAAAAAAAAATGGATTATGGAATATTTTCTTCTAGAATGGATAAAAGATTTAAGGCAAGGTGTTCATATATCTACTCCTCCCAAATTATTATAAACATTATGTCAGATAAAGACTTTTATGTAAGACTAGGTATCATATTAGATTATTGTTACTCCTGGTCTTGGTTTTCTTTACTCAGATCTTTTAATGGGAGGGAGTGTTTTATGTCTGCTTGACACTATGGAAGACTAGAGGAAATAAAATAATTTCCTTTGCTTTGTCAAATTAGAGGGTTCCTTCTGGTTTTATGTTTTTTTTGCCTGAGCCTCATAAATTGAGGAGACCAAAGTTTCCCACGGTGCAGACTTTGTGGCTCCACTTGAAACAAAAATTAAAAAAAATTGAAAAAAAATTAAAATCAAATTCCATTTTAAATCATTGTCAGAATAAACCGTACTTTCCATATTCCAAACATGATGATTTTATATGAAACCAAATTAAAGATAATACTTTTCATGTTCCTAAATTAACAAAACAACTTTCTGTAAAAGCTACTCATATTGCATTTTCTCAATGTTTCCAAAACGTTTATCCTGGACTGATGAAAAACTTGGGGGAAATGTGTTTTCTCCCACCAAGACTTCAAAATTTTTGGATTTTTTTTATCTCTAGAAGAGATTTCTGAACACTAAATTCTACCATGGTGCAAGCTGAGACTGGTATGTCTTTGACACCTGTACCCACTACTGAGAATTTGCAAACAATATACATTGGGTCCTTGGTATCTGCTGGGATTTGGTTCCAGGACAACCCCAGCCCCCATGGATACAAAAATCCATGGATGCTTAAATCCCATTAAATACAATGGCCTAGTGAATTGGTGTCCCTTATATAAAATGACAAAATCAAGGTTTGCTTAGGAATTTATATATTTTAAAACATTTTCAAACAGCAGATGGTTGAATCCATGGATAAAAAAAAAAATGTGGATATGGAGGGCCATCTGTATTGTTTGGTTGATAGCTCCTTAATATTCCAAGGTATTAGCCATCCTGGCTGGTGTTGTGTGAGTTGTAGCCCAAACACTTTTATAACCCTTCACCATCATCATTTTGCTGCAGAGAAGGCTAGGATCTGTCTTTTCTGAGACTAAAGACAAAAGGTAGATTTTAGGGATGAACAATCAAGGCCTCCCCAACGTCTACAGTAGCCCAATTCAGGAGATACTCCTGCCCATTTAAGAGGCTATTGTATAATTTCTTTTGCAAATAAGGTAGAAAAGTTGTGAATGGTGCCCAAAATGCAACATTAATTCTATAGAGAAAACAAGTCATCCGATTACCAATGCGCTCATTATAATGTCCATCTGCCCAGCAGAAATAAGCTTCTCAATTCTGTACAACTTACTAGTCTCTGACTAGCATTAAAAGCATTTGCAGGTTTGCAACGGAAACAAGTTCTTGATTGTAAGTTGCATTTCTGTCTCAATGGACAAACACACAACATCTCGTAGAAGACTCGAGGCCGGCTCAGAGAAAATATTTGACACAGTTCTTTGCAGATACGGGGGGAAAAAAGCAGGAGGCAAAGAAGAAGAGAAACCAATGCATTTTACAACAGGGGAAGACAGTTTGTGGTGGTTCCAGACCTCACAATGCTCTAGCTACCAAAGATTGGTGGCGGTCTGTTCCTGAAAACAGCTTGACACCTTGCAAAAGTTTGTCCTTCCAATGAAGTTGGTTTTGATCAAGCCATTTTGCTCAGCTACTAAAGCCCTCCCTTGCCTCATTTATTTTTGCGATCAAGGAGCTGCAAAAGATCTCCCCACACTTCCAGCCGGTTTTATGAGTAGGCAGAAGAGATTTTTATAGAGGGGGGGACTGGAATGTTTTGAGCATCATTTCTTTGGGGGAGGCTCCCTCCTCATTCCTGACAGTTCGCCCCTGAAGCACGCAGAGAGGAGGCTGCAAAGGAGGAACCAGAGAGAGAAGAGAGAAGGTGAAGAACCAAGTGTGATAAGGAGCATTTACTGTTAGCAAAGTACCTTCATGATCACTCTCTGGAGCAAGGTGATTCAATAGGTCTACTCAAGTTGGCATTAGCAACTTGGAAACCTTTATGCTATTGAATTGGAAGTGGTCTTCAGGGCCACAGATGAGAGAAAGGTAGGATGAATCCAATCACTGAAGGTGGGACAAACCCAATATTGTTGTCATGTGCCTTCAAGTCCTTTCCAACGTATGGCGACCCTATCGCAGGGTTTTCTGGGTCTGAGTGTGTGTGTCCCTCCCAAGGCCATCTAGGAGAGTTTCCACCAAAAGTACCTGTGACAGCAACAGGACAGAGAGAAAGGCTTCCCTGGAAGATCTCAAGATATGGGCAGGTTCATATCGAGGAATTGTTATTGTCACATGCCTTCAAGCCATTTCTGACTTATGGCAACACTAAGGCAAACCTTTCACAGGATTTTATGGGGCTGAGAGTGTGTTACTCTTCCAGGCTCGCCAGTGGGTTTCCATGGCCAAGCGGGGATTTGAACCCTGATCCCGAGTTGTACGTTCAAACCACTACACCATACTGGCTCTAAATCTAATATTTGCTGTTGCTGTGTGGCTTTAAGTCATTTCCGACTTATGGCAACCCTAAGGAGGACCTATCACTCAGTTTTCTTGGCAAATTTCTTCAGAAGAGGTTTGCCTTTGCCATCCTCTGAGGCTGAGAGAGTGTAACTTGCCCAGGGTCACCCAATGTGTTTCATAGAAATATACAAAAAGATAAATCAAGTAGTAATCAAATAGATGGATGACTGAATATGATTTGAAGGACCAACATGGTGTAGTGGTTTGAGTATTGGATTACAACTCTGGAGACCAGAGTTCGATTCCCTCCTTGGCACTGGAAACTTGTTGCAGGAGTCACACACTCCCAGCCCCAGAAAAACCCATGATAGGGTTGCTTTAGGACAGTGCTTCTCAATTATTTTCTGTCATGCCCCCCCTAGGAAGAAGAAAACATTTTGCACCCCCTGCGCGACTGTAAATAGTATCATTTGTCTATAAAATTGTTATAAGTACACCTTTACGGAGCCTCGCGTCCCCCCTTGGGGGTGCGCCCCACTATTTGAGAAGCACTGCTTTAGGGTCACTATGAGTCAGAAACGACTTGAAGGCACGCAACAATAACAATTCCCATATATGAACCTGCCTGTATCTTGAGATCTTCCAGAGAAGGCTTTTTCTCTGTCCTGTCACTCTCAC